TTTCGTTTCTCTCTCTCCCCCATGCATCTCACACACACACCCCATCACAAACACACACACGCACACACACAAAGTAAGTCTTTCGTTTCTCTCTCTCCCCCATGCATCTCACACACACACCCCATCACAAACACACACACGCACACACACAAAGTAAGTCTTTCGTCGCCCAACCCATGTTGGCATTTAGCTTGGTCGACATTCGCCATGTGCCACCTTGCTGGCAGAAGTCGTGAGTTTTGGTTTGTCGTCGTTTAACTCATCGTGTATGACTTCCTCCTCCAGCTCGAAGTTCTGTCGCACACCGGCAGCCGTTGAAACCGTCGTTCTTACTCCACCTTGCCGATTAAGGTGCATTGGACGCCGCCATCGAAAAATCGACAATCAAGCTCGCCGTCATTAATTGCGGGTTTCAGGAAAAAAACCAAAAAAAAAAATTACAATCCCCCTCAACATCGGATCTCTGTCACGAGGGGATAATTTACACTCTGAACGGAAAATACCATCGTTCAACGACGTCTGATGTCGCCGACCGGAGGAAGGTGACGCGCGGAAACGGTGGTGGTAGAAGAACAATTTGGGAATTAGGGCACTTAAAAAAAACAATTAAATTTTTTTCAAGGACTTGATTGCAATTTAATGAATTTTGACTATATTTCAATTGGGTTCATGTGCCAAATCAGTAATTTATATAAAGTTTAATAAATGCATATTAAATTATAAATAAAATGCACAATATACTTATTGTGTATATTCAAATTAAATATAACTGCGATGCGAGTGCACAATAGTGTTATACGAAATGTACATTAATGATTGATGTACAACACAACAGTGGACGTCACCGACTAAACCAAGTTTTCGGTTCGAATTTTTATATGTTGGTTCTTTTAGCCGTTTTAATTTTAAAAAATCGGTTATCTCGGTTAGATGTCGTGTTTTTTTTTTAAATAATGAAACTAACTACACTATATAAAAAAATGATACTTTTTTATGTTCTTTTTATTTATACTAGTACAGTACCCGTGCGATGCACGGGGTTTATCATCTCCGTTCCTTTTAAAAAGCAACTTTCAGTTAAAATTCAAAGTACTTACTAAAGGAAATATCATGTATTTAATAATTAATAAATTAATAAATATAATGAAAATAAATCTATATATTATTGAACATTTATGATTTGATTCTTTGGCACGTCATCGTCGCCACAAATTAGGATTTCTAAACCATTTCTATTTGTGACACGGGAGATAATAACATACAACTGGCTATGACAAATCACTGGTTTCTTAAGAAATAAGCACACATACAAATGATTGTCCATGCTCTTATTTATAGTCATGGCATAAGAAGGAGTTATAGTCATTCTTGAAATCAACACTTTATCACATGCGCGATAGCCAGTGAATATCTTATGCCCGACAACGTGAGTGGAGAACTTTGTCACAACCAATCATGTCCCATTACA